ATTCAGATACGAATCATCAAAGGACGCTAAAACTAGAGGATAAAAATTTATAAACAACAGGATATTGATATAGTCTCTAAGTAGCTCCCCACATAATATTTATTCCTCATTAATTAGTAAGTACAAAATACTTATATTAACTTCACCATGGAGAAAACTTGTAGATATAACCAACTGTTAAAAATTAACATCACCAGTAATGGGAAAAATTGATACTATGTGCCTCCAGATACAAGGCAGAGAACACAGCATCACTTCTCTGATATTCCTGTCAAAAATCCATAACCTCAACCTAATCAGGAGGAAACACCAGACAAACCCAAAGTAAAGGTCTTTCTACAAAGGAACTGGCTGGCACTCTTCAAAAATGGCAAGGTCATAAGAAAACGAGGAAAAAGTGAGTAAGTGCTCCAGATTGAGGAAGACTGAAGAAAAAACATAAATAAATGTACGCATCATCCTGGACTGGATCCTGGACCCAAAAGGAAAGCATTACTATAAGGACATTTGTGGAGTAATTGGTAACATTTGAATGGGGTTTGTGGATTAAATGGTAGAATTTTTTCAATGTTACTTTCCTGATTTTGATGGAAGTACTGTAGTTATGCAGGAGAGCCCTTGTTTTTAAAAATTACACACAAAAGCATTTAGGGCTAATGGGACTCAGAAGTGCAACTTAGCATCAAATAGTTTAAAAAGTAATTCGTGTATATATAGAGTGATAAGGTAAATACGGTAAAATGTGAACAACGGGAATCTAGGGGAAAGATACAGGATCTTTTAAACTATTCTTGTAACTTTTCTGTCAGTTTAAAATTATTTCAGGGGTTGGCCTGGGGGTGCAGTGGTTAAGTTCGCACATTCCGCTTCGGTGGCCTGAGCCGGGGTTCCCCGGTTCAGATCCCAGGTGCAGACATGGCACCGATTATCAAGCCATGCTGTGGTAGGCGTCCCACATACAAAGTAGAGGAAGATGGGCATGGATGTTGGCTCGGGGCCAGTCTTCCTCAGCAAAAAGAGGAGGCTTGGCAGCAGATGTTAGCTCAGGGCTAACCTTCCTCAAAAAACAAAAAAATTTCAAAATAAGTTAAAAAAATAAGATACATACAAGTGGTCTTTCAGCTATTAGGAATTTATTACACTGGTTTTTATACTACTATAAAAATCTCTGCTTAATGGTTTCCTTATCTCAGGTATAACTATTCAAAAGAATAGCTGAAATAAATGTGAAAGCAGTGGGTTTTTTTTTTTTTGGCTGAGGAAGATTGGCCCTGAGCCAACATCTGTGCCCATCTTCTTCTGTTTTATATGTGGGATGCCTGCCACAGCATGGCTTGACAAGTGGTGTGTGGACTGCATAGGTCCACGCCTGGGATCTGAACTGGCAAACCCCAGGCCACCGTAGCAAAGAGGGTGAACTTAACCCGCTGTGTCACCAGGCTAGCCTCAAAAGAAGCTTTTAATGGGCAATAACATAGATATAAAATTCTGCTTAATAGTTAAAAATGCACAATGTTCTAAATTGTCCTCACTAAATATACTTCTTTCTTTCTGCAGTAGTCTGTCTCCTTGAAAAAATCACATATATGAAATATTGAAAATCTTGAGAATTTGAATCCTGTACGCATTTAGGGTAAATTTTTTTTCTCGTAGCTGATAAAGGATTTACCTAATCTCATTAGAGACTTATGTCCTTTGATATTTAAATATGAAATTTAACCTGAACTATGAGCTATGGGTGATGTTGAAAATTAGAGCATCTTTATGATTTCTGCTATATACTACTATTTTTATTTTAATTATAGTTTGGTAATAAATAGATAATTTCTTAATATAAAAAAATCTCCTACGGTAGCAAATGTCTGTCCGTAGAAGAGGATTTTTTTAATCTTCTTTGTCATTTAGAGTCAGGTGGTAACGTTAGCTTGGCCAAGACCACAACGTCTTTCTAAAATAATTTACATTTCTCATAAGCTTGGTAAGTGAATCTGAAGAGAAATGACAGCTCCAAAAATACTTAAAACAAGGACAGCGGCAGCACCCTCGGAATAAAAACAGCTTCCTGCAGAGTTCTGCTTGAAGGACTTCATAGTTTTGAATGTACAATTAGTAGCGTCTTTTTAAAAAAAATAACAATTGTGTCAAGGGGGAAAAAAGGAAATACATCCAATAAATTGGATATTGAATATTAAAATCAACAAAACCTCAGAAAATGATGTGGAAGTCCTACGACTCCACTGTGTACTCTCCAGCTGAGATTACCCTTCAAGGTCAAGAATCTGAGCCGGCTCCGTGGAACCCATCAAGTCTGACGAGAAGCAAACACACCTTTCGTCCTCTTCAGCCACGGTGAAGAGAGGGTTAAAACTCTCCAAACTCCTATTTGGCTCCTTGAAATCACATTTTACCTTTAAGAACTAAAATGAAATGGCCCTGAGTAACGAATGAAAAGCAACAAAAAATGGAACGTGTCCAAGTGTGTGTGGTGGCGGGGGGAGAGGAAAAGGAGAGAGAAGCAGAGATACCTCAATTCCAGCAAAGCCCTGGGTTTTCAATTATTTTGGCAATTTTTGGTCTTTTCTCATAAACACACTTAAGGCGGTTAAAGTGAGAGAAAGGCAAAAGAAGAAAAATACCCCTTCCTTGATCCACGCCCAGGCAGGCAGATCTGAATGCTCCTCCTCTAGCTCCCGTGGCATCTTTACCTACACCGTCATTCTACAGCTATCGAATGGTGAATTAAAAAGGGGGTTGGGGGTGGCAGGGAACAACCACCACTAAAACAAACAGTCAATCACTGAATTACGAACTACTATTTACGTCCTTTCACTTAAGCGGTAATCAGTTCATTCATATTTAAAGGACTTTGTGATAAAACTCTAGAACTTAAAACCAAAGAAAAGTGCAGAAGGGGACATTGACCCTTTCTCCCCTACCTTTGCTGGTCGTCACACAGAACGGACATCAATCTCTCAGCATGCTATTGTCCTAAGCAACGACCAATTGCCAAGTGCTGTTCTCAGAGCAGATAAACTGAGCGTTTCATTCCTAAGCAAACTGAATGCAAACTAAGGAACTGACACAGCGCAGCAGAGCAGGAAAAAAAGGAATTGAAATTTACAACTCCAAATCTCAGACTGTTCTGGCTGAGAGGGACTGGAGAATTCATCTTGTTCAACACACTTACTCTAGAACTGAATGAGTGGACTCTGTAAGGCTGGTGCCAATTCCACCTCTGTCTGTGAGTGGTCCTCAAGCAGATCCCTTCCCTCCCATAGGCCCATTCACTCAATACTAAAAGAAGTGGGTTGAACTGGATGAATTCTACAGTCTCTCTCAGTCATAACATCCTAAGATTTTAAGCTACAAATTTCAACTACTTTTCTTATTCCTATGGCTTTTTTCTTGCAGAAATGGATGAGCTGATTCTAAAATTCACATGCAAATGCAAGGGAACCAGAACAGCCAAAACAATCTTGCAAGAGAACAAAGTTGAAGGACTCACATTTGCTGGTTTCAAAACTTAATACAAAGCTACAGTAATCAAGACAATGTGGTACTGGCATAAGGACAGATATATAGATCAATGAAATAGAATTAAGAGTCCAAGAACAAACGCATACATTTAGGGACAACTGATTTTCAACACAGGTGGCAAGAAAATTTGATGAGGAAATAGTCTTTTCATCAAATGAGCTGGGACAACTAGACTTCCATATGCAAAAGAATGAAATTGGACCCCTACTTCACACCACATACAAAAATTAACTCAAAATAGATCAAAGAAAAGTATAAGAGCTAATACTATAAAACTCTTAAGGAAAATATAGGTATAAATCTTTGTGACCTTGGATAAAGCAATGGTTTCTAAGATATGACACCAATATTGCATGGAACCAAAGGAAAAAACAGATAGACTTGATCGAAACTAAAAACTTTCGTGCTTCAAAGGACACTATCAAGAAAATGAAAAAAACAAAAAAAAACACAGAATGGGAGAAAATATTTGCACATCATGTATCTGATAAGGGTTTAGTCTCCAGACTATATGAAAAACTCTTATAATTCAACAATAAAAAGATAAATAAACCAAATAAAAAATAGGGAAAGGATCTCTACAGACATTTCTCCAAAGAAGATGTACAAATGGCCAATAAGTACAGAAAGGATGCTCAACATCATTAGTCATTAGGGAAACGCAAATCAAAACTACAGTGAGATACTCTTCACACACACTAGGTGGCTAAAAAAGGAAAGATAGTGAGTAACAAGTGTTGTCAAGGACATGGAGAAAGTGGAATCCTCACACACTGCCAGCGGGAATGTAAAATGGTGCAGTCACTCTGGAAAACAGTCTGGTAGTGTCTCAAAAGGTTACAGAGTTATCACATGATACAGCAATTCTACTCTTAGGTACATACCCAAGAAAACTGAAAACACATGTCTATACAAAAAACTTGTACAGGCATATTGATAGCAGCATTATTCACAATGGCCAAAAAGTGGAAACAACCCAAATGTCCATCAACTGATGAATGGATAAACAAAATGTGGTATATCCACAGAATGGAATACCATTCAGACATTAAAAGGATACTGAGGAGCCAGCCCCGTAGCCGAGTGGTTAAAGTTCCATGCATGCTCCAATCTGGCAGCCCGGGTTCATGGGTTTGGATCCCAGGGGCAGACCTACACCACTCACCAGCAGCCATCCTGTGGCAGTGACCCACATACAAAGTGGAAGAAGACTGGCACAGATGTTAGCTCAGGGTGAATCTTCCTCAAGCAACAAAAGAGGAAGATTGGCAACAGATGTTAGCTCAGGGCCAATCTTCCTCAGCAAAAAAAAAAAAAAAAAAAAGAGGGAGAGAGAAAGGATACTGATAAATGCTACAACATCAATGAACCTTGAAAATATAATGCTAAGTGAAAGAAGTCAGACATAAAAGGCCATATATTGTATCATTCCACTTTTATGAAACATCCAGAATAGGCAAATTCATGGAGAAAGAAAATAGATTAATGGTTGCCTGGGGCTGGGGAGAAGGGAGACTGAGAAATGACTGCAAACGGGTATAGTCTCTTTTTGGGGTGATGAAAATGTTCTGGAATCAGATAGTGGTAATGGTTGCGCAACTCTGTAAATATACTAAAAACCAAAGAAGTGTACACTATAAAGGAGTGAATTTTATGGTACGTGAATGATATCTTAATTTTTTAAAGCAAGGTAAATGCCTCTCCTTAGAAAATTCATTTCCTCACTTCTGTTTCAAACCGCCTACTGGTTTATGAAAGTATAGAAAAGTTTGCAATGATATTTGACATTTCTAATCCCACTGCAACAACTACTACAAAGAAATTGCTTCTTAGCCAAATTATTTACAGATATCAACTGACGGCCCACCTTTATTTATTTTGCTTTTAAACAATAAAGATCTGGAAGTGCGTTTCAGCTCATGATTACCTCTCAGTCCTTTTGTAAGTTTCTATTTTTCTTAAGTGAGGCTGAACAAACGTCTCCGTTTTAGAAATTTTAGTAACATTGTCATCTAGAAACAGGTGAGAGTATTGCTCCTGCAGATGAGTTAGCACGGCATCTTCAAGCAGTGTTTTAAAGTCTAATTCCCAAGGCTAGGGAGGAAACGGTTTTTCAATATTGATATTGCACTGTAATATGTATGACCAGATGCTTTAAGCCATGAAACAAATCCACACTTTCTCTCTCGTGGAACATAAATACGATTCTAGGCTTATGCTATTCAGTAATAAGAGTTTAAGTGAAATTTTTTCAAAGCCCTACAAAGAAAACATACTAGTTATCTTTACCTTTTGTAACATTGTTTTGTCCATCTGGTTTCCAGAGTCGGGAGGCTGTAAACTTTGCATTAGCGCCATAATCCACAATAAAAGCTTTGTAAGCATTTGAAATAGAATGAAGTAATAATTCTACTCTCACGTCACTGACTTGTACTATACATAGTTCCATAAGTTAAAAAAGAAGACTGAGATTTCTAAGAATTCTAAGTGTAGAGAGGAGGGCTTAAACACTTGAGAAATAAACGTCTAGGTCTGCCATAAATTCCAGCAACAGATTACAACAGGACGACGAGACTTTTCATTTTTAAGTTCAATGAAAATTGCATATATTCAGTTTTTACTCTTAAACACAAATGGTTTACATTGTATCAGGGCTGCTAGCCCCAAGAGAGACGTGATCATGGAAAGGACGACCTTATCACACTTGAGCGTTATTTTTGTAGTAATGTGTATAAAATCCAACCAGTGCTTTGGCAGCGTTAGGAGATGAGCAAGCCTAAGAGATGAAAACATTTACACCTTTTAATTAAATTATACTGTTACCTTATAAAAAAAAATGTGAGGTTCAACATTTGTTTCCTTAAAAACAGAGCACTAAACACTTCCCAATACAGTAAGCTAGCTGATGGTTAAGATGTGTCTAAAACGTATGCAGAACCCTTAAGACTGTAACACATCAAGTTCTTCTGAATTATGTCTATCCAAACGATGATGTTATAATTCAAATTGAACAACACGATCTTAATAAAACAAGAAATGGGAGAAATGAAAATCGGCTTCTGAACCAAATGCGTACCACCTCACACTAGACTGAGTCACTGGGAAATACAGGCATGGAATAGATATGCTCCACGTGGAGACAACTGCATATTAGAATTCAAAGGAAGAGTTATAGCATATACTCTTTGCTTTTTGTTTTTTAAATAGGCCTCAAAAAACTGTTTTATCAGTTATTTTTTAATAGCACAACTTTTCTAAATCTCACTTTTCATTCAGAAAATGTAAGAAACAGTTTGCAAGACCTCATGCAAACACGTTTCTCTAAGGCCATGTACTGGTTTGCTAAGTTGCATTGTTTGTTTCAAGTAAAAAGCCCTTCTAGAATAAGGGGTCTGCAAAGGAAACCATCACCTTCAACACTCGGGCCTGCACACTTGTTAGGATCTCTATCACTCTGAAAGCCAAAAGACAGAATGCTCATTTGAGCATTAGCAAAATGGTCTCTATTTACATCTTTAAAAAATCTAATGCATGTTAAGTTTTTCTGGCAATTTGCTTGGTGTGTTACGAAACAAAAAAGCAAAAGCTTAGAATAAGAAGCCTTTTTTCTTAGAAAGGTCAAACAGATACTTCTTGACATCATGTCCTTTACACAATGGCATACTGTTCATATAAAAGGTCTCTTATCCTGTAAAAATCTTGACAGAGGCAGCCTTCTAATCCAATGCGTCCAGTTTCCGTCTAGAAACCAAGAAAGAAAAAAGCAAGTGCTTTAGTACATTTTCTATCCATTGACACGCAGACATAATAACCAAAATAGATTGACTAGATTCCTTTATGATTGGTGCAGAAACGGATTGCTCTGACTCACAGAATATGGATAAAATATTCATGTCATGAATTTTACATACACATATAAATGTCAGAGGATTCAAATAATACAAATTTACAGCAAAATTTTATATCATCTCTCTGAGTCACTTTTATAAGTCTTCAAGGTCATCATGATGAATATAAATTATTGATCTCCAGTTAGTGAAATTACCAATCAAGCATTACAGAATTCAAAATGACAAAGCATCAGACGCATTTGTTCAATTCACCCCTTATTAGAAGACACACTTACTCTACGGACCGCCACTTGATTGTTGCAAACCAGTACGCCTCCTACAAATTCAGCTTGAATCCCCTCCCGTAACAGGACCTGTTTGAAGTCTGACAGTCTGGGTTCGTTCATAAAAACTGACTGATGTCCAGGAACCTTAGACAAGGTTAAAGGGGAAAGAAGAACTTCAAATAAAACACCAGACACAGTTGTACTGAATAAAGTGAAATAACACATACTTTCTATTACTCCCTGAAGTCCTTTGGCAGATCATTTCAAGACTGTAAATCACACTCCGAGTTGTTATTCTGAATCTACCTCATGATTTAACAGTACAAAGCCCTTCACATTTTCTGAATGTTTCACAATCGATTTTATTAGTCATGCCTTATAACAGAGACCCGTTTAGTAACGTTATGCGCTTCACTCACCCACTTGCCTAAGGGGGTCAACGAGAGTGCCAATAGGCAGAACGGAACCAAAATTCATCTTCCAGGTCGTAGTGCTTTGCTTAGTTCAGAGGATAACTCCCTCCTGATTCCACCGTCACGTTCCCTCCTCCCTCAGAGCAAATGCAGTGGAGGCCATGGGTTTTGGAATCAGAAAGGCAAGAGGTTCAACCTAATGCTGCTACTTTGAAATTGGTTTGAAGAGTGCCAGCTTTAACACAGACAGAATAGGTCTAATTCCTCCTCTCAGTTTCAAGAGCGGTGCTGGAGAATCCAGAGACAGGGGCTGTTTCTATTCTTTACTGCACAGAAAGGCTAAGGACATCACCAGACATGCATGTAGGACTCTTAGAACACAGCTCTAATATCGCTGTAAGGCAACTACCTGAAATCCATGCCAATTAACTGGACAGCTCTGGAGAGCATGTAAATACTAAACTAGAATTATACCTACACTTAAAAGATTTCTAACTATATCAAAACCAAAAGTGATTTAAACTGAATTGGCAACATAAAAAATGGAGCGCCGGAGTATGACGTTTGTATTAAATTATCAATCTCCTGATCGGAAGCAGGTAGGTGATTCTCACAATCACTGGACTTGATATTTAAAAATCCATATTGAAAAAACAAATCATGAAACAATTTTGCCTTTTATTAGATTTTCTAAAGATTTCCTTTAAATTCTTATCATTCCCTGGCCGCACTGGATACATACACACACACACACACGCTCATACATGCACACACATAAACATATTTTAAGTAGACTTTTTAAAAATGCCAAAATCAGCCTACATGTGACACATATTTTCAATGGGTAAAAACATAAAAGGAAAGTTCAAAGGACAAGGAAGAGCTAGAAGCGGCAGTGCTTTTCACCTCGTGGGGCGGCAGGGGCTCCAACGTCGGGATGATCTCACTTTCTTCCCCTGTGTCTTTCTCGTCATCTCCAAACAGACTCTTCATGGCCTTCTGCTGTGCGAGGACGCTGGAGTCGGAGGGAGCATCCACTTGCATTTCTGAGTCTTCGCCATCATCCTTTAGCTCTCCTTCTTCCAAAATAACTCCTGTGTCCACTTTGGAAACTCTCATGTCTAAGACACCATCTATCCAAGCTAATTCAGCATCTTTCGCCTTACAAAACTGCAGGGAGCTGACAAGAGAGTCTTTCAATCTCACCTAGATATGAGGCAAAGGAGAGGGAGAGAAGTAAAACCCAAAGAGTATAATAACAATGAAATATAACCTATTATTACCATTTTCTAATTCTGGTAGTGTGTATTAAAATTTGAAAATCTTTCACTCAGCTGTTATTCACCATGACCCGTAATGACCTAACAACCAGTAAGAGTATTAGGACCCCTGTCTACTTTCCAAAGCAAAGGCTCTTAACTTTGACTGCACATTGGGATCAAAAAAAAAAAAAAGAGCCCACCCTGATGGCCTAGTGGTTCAAGTTTGGCATGCTCCACTTCACCAGGCTGGGTTTGGTTCCCAGACACAGAACCTACACCACTTGTCTCTCAGTAGCCATGCTGTGGTGGTGCCTCACGTAGATAACTAGAAGGGCCTACAACTAGAATATACAACTATATACTGAGGCTTTGGGGAGAAAAAATAAAAATAAAAAAAAAAGAGAGGAAGATTGGCAACAGATGTTAGCTCAGGGTGAAGCTTTCCAGAAAAAAAAAGCCAGTGTTCCACCTCCAGTGATTCTAATACAATTGCTGAGACCAAGACCAGAACACTGAGTCTGCCTGATTCTCCTAAAGCTCTCTACATGATTCTCATGTGCAGCCAAGGTTGAGAACCACTGAAAAGCCTCATCCTCCAGCACTTGATGCTCTTTCAGGAATACTGAACTGCTTATGGTTTCCTCACTATACCATGTGGTTTCACACCTCCATATTCTTGGAATGCTGCTTCCTCATGTTCTGCCCAGAATGATGTTTCTGCCTGGTGAATTCCGATCCATTTTTCAAACAAATATGGATATCACTCCTGCCTTAACTGACACCATCTCCCATAACCACATAAGAGTTAATCAACCTCTTCCCTGTGCTGTTCCTGTTTTCTGCACCTGTCTCCATTTTTTTTCGATTAGGAATAGAATCTTGACATCTGTGAACTTCTGAAAACTCTTGAATTCTTAAACATTCACCATTCCCCTCACCTCTGCCTGGAACACTCTTTCTCCCTCTCTTTCCCACTCTATACACCACCCTGACAACCCATCTAAATATCCGTTAGGGTCCAGCTTAGTTATCACTTCCTCTGGGAAATCTTTTCTAAACCTCCAAATTTGGGTTGGGGTCTCCCTCTTTATATATACTCTCATAACATCCTGTACTTTTTCTATCAGAGGTATAACAGTGTGATAAATGGTATTCCCTTCTTATAAGCCCCACAGACTATACAATCTGCTACGGCAGGGGACCATGTCTGTCTCACTCACCACCATATTCCTAATGTATCTGTCCCTAATCTGCAGCAAAAAGCACTTACTTCTATGTGGCTCAAATGCCAGCAGATTTACCTGGTAGATGTGGGTTTCACTCGTGGCATCAACTGTTTCATGTAGCTTTGGCATGTACACTTTAATATCTTTCCCACCAAATGCACGGCAGCACTCTGCAAGATCCTGACTGGCCTCTGGTGGTCCATGGACAATGATCAACTGTCGTGGTTTCATCTGATTAATGATCTTTTTAATGGAATCTCCATCAGAGCGTCCTTCATAGTCTATGTAAGTAACCCTGGCTCTGTAATCACAAATAATTATTCAAGCTTACTTTTCTCATAATTCTAAAACTGGGTTTTTAATGGCTTTTATCATCAGGAAAGAAATGTGTGTGTGTGTGTGTATATATACATATATATAAAATAAGGATTTAAGGAATATACATGTGTTATATTTTTAATATGACTTGAGGGGGATTATGCATTATTTAATAGGTGTTATTAGAAAAAATTCCTCACTATACATAAGTAAAACTGGATCCTGACCTAATGCCATAGATAACAGCAGGTGAGTTGAAGCCATAAAAGAGAAATGTGAAGCTTTAAACTTAATAGAATAAAACGTAAGAATTACCTTTGTGACCAGAGACAGAGAAGGACTTCTTTATATAAGAAACCCCAAAAACCATAAAGGAAAATATTTTATTATTTCATTATATCAAAATTGAAGATTTTTTTTTTAAACAAAGTAGACCCTGGACAACTCTTATAAACAAATAAAAGGATGGGAGAGGATATTTGCATTGTCTAAAACCAACCAGGGATAATATCCAGAATATACAATGAACTCCTGCAAATCAGTAACAAAACGGCAGCAGCTCCTAGAGAAAAATGCACGAAAGACATAAACACAGACTTTACAGAAGACACAACAGAAAAAGGAACAAGCACCTGAAGAGATAATCAGACTCAATAATTGTCAGAGTAAAACAAATTGAAACAGTACTGATACGCTACTTTACACCTATTAGACTGGAAAACACTAAAGAGTTAGGTAACACCAGATGCTGGTGAGGAAACAGGGATGCAGGAAGCCTCCTGCTCTGCTGGTGAGAAGATAAACCGGTGCAGCCCTTCTGGAAAGCATGTCGTGATGCTGTTAATACACATTATTTAGATATTAGCTATCCCCAAGAATATATAGTAAATGATACCACTGGACAAATAAGCCACTTTGCTCTCTAATGACTTAAAAACAATTCCAAAAAGATGATGTACTGGTGTTATTAACTGTATCAAGTAGAAAAGAGAAAGAAAGGTTTCTTAACTACTTCAGGTCACGATAGTATTGTTTAAGACTTTAGGGCACTGGAGATGTTGAAGTCAAGGAGTATATTTTATGAAACAAGCACTTAGAAACGTTAAACCTGTGAACTGCACAGGTTCCCCTCTTACTAGACTTACTGAAAAGGCCAGAAAGAATGCTTCTTCACAGAAACGTGTAATTTAATGTTTGACCCCTTCCGCACCACCAATTCAATTACTCTGGCGTTCAACTATCATTAATGAAGAGTAAACACCACCATACTTCACAAGCCTTAGCATGAAAAAGGACATTAAATTTTAAAAGCGCAAACTTACTAGAAAATATTCAGAAATTTCACTTTTGGAACAATGTAAATTACATAATTCAAGTGCTTCAAATTTTATCCTGTAGTCTATTCAGAATGCCATGAAAGCACTTACTTTATTTCAATGGACTCTGTCGTGGAAATACACTTAGTAGGAACATCAGATAAATCCTGATCCATGGGTTCATCGCCATTTGTCAAGCCAGATTCTAATTTGCTTTTTTCTTCTTCAGTAGCTTGAAGTTCTGGCACTAAGAAATCCTCTGGTCTAAATAAAATGTTTCTAATTAGAAATAGTAACAAGCAAGCTAATATTATATAATATATATAACTAATAGATAGCATAATTTTTAGACTCCTCACATATCTCAAGATTTAAATATATATTTGATCCAAAGCCAATGCAACTTCATATCAATTATCAGATGACTGCATATATTATACTCTTCATGACCATTAAGGAGTGCTCTTTAAAACATCATGTGGGCTACTCAAAGGGCCCAGGACGGATCACTAGATCTTAGTAGCTATCTTAAGTACTATTACAACCTGGCCCTGTATTTGTTTCAATAATTCTTTTTCTCAATTTCTGAGGTTTCTCTTGCCAGCTCCTAATTCTTATAAATCACAGACGTCCTCTGATTTCCTTAGGACTCCCAGCTATTCCATCTCTGCCCAGAGAAAGAAGATGACTCGCCATTTGCACATTACCAAGAAGATGAGTTACAAAATCATTAGCTCCCTCAAAAGCCTTCAACTTTATTTCATCAAAAAATTAACACATTTGGGGCTGGCCCCGTGTCCGAGTGGTTAAGTTCCCACGCTCCGCTGCAGGTGGCCCAGTGTTTCGTTGGTTCGAATCCAGGGCGCGGACATGGCACTGCTCATTGAACCACGCTCAGGCAGCGTCCCACATGCCACAACTAGAAGGACCCACAACGAAGAATATACAACTATGTACTGGGGGGCTTTGGGGAGAAAAAGGAAAAAATAAAATCTTTAAAAAAAAAAAATTAACACATCTATCTTCCCATTTTTACTTCCAGTATCAGAGGGAGTTGTATGTCAAAACTAACAAAGTTTTAAAAACATTCTCTCTAACCTCCTATAATTGTCTACGCCCTGTCCTCAAATCCACTGAGACTCCTCTCTGGGAACCCAGGCCTCTGTTACCCAACACCTAGATTGCTGGGGCAGCTTCTCAGCCCCTGGAGTCCAATAACTCCAGCTGTAACCCACATAATAACGACAGCAGTGGCAACCACGTAAAGCACATTTACTGTGAGTCAGGTTCTATTTTAAGGCCTTAAAAACACCACCTCATTTAATTCTTATTCCATTTTTTAGATAAGGAAAGTGAAGCTAAAGAATACTGTCCATATGCTAAACAGACTGGCCACTAATTAAGCGGAATGGTAAACAAACTCACCAATACTGTTTAGATTATTTTTTCTCTCTACTATTTTAGAGGGCCAAGTAGACAGTGGAATTTTCCAAATTAAATCCAGGGATGACCTAAAACCACTATACGCTCAAGATAGCATTACAGAAGTACAAACAAAGATCAAGAGATGGCCCTAACTGTGTTGGGGTGACAATGAAGAAACAGGAAAGGTTTCCAGTAATTTGTGAGGCCAGACTCAGCAGCCTAGAAGCTTGGGATGGGATGGTGGAAAAAGGCTGAAGGAAGAACAGGGGCAAGGGCATGACATGAATATGACGAGCAGAGGGAAAGTACCAGGAAGAAGGCTGGTACCAACAGAGCAGAGAACGCACACTGACATAACAGAAATATACAGAAACATAGCAGAAAGTGGGGAGGAAGCAGAGCGTGAAAGACATTGTGCATTGTGCTAAGGCATTCGAAAGCAACAGGAACCCTGAAGGATCTTTACACAGGACAGCAGCATTTCAACTCTATGATTAGGACAGGTGATTTCAGTTGTTTTTCCGATGGTGGGTATAAATTTTCTATAGTTCCACTCATGCTATCTCACATTCCTCTTATAACTAAAACACGTGTGCAAGACTACTGGACATAACCCATTTCCAAAACTTCACACAGTCACCGTCCATCAAAAATCCTTCCTACGGCTCCAGTGCGTGTTCCTTAGCTCTCTTCTGAAGTGGGAAAAAAAGTCTTGATCACCTATTTAAACCTCTCACACATGTAAGTAACAGAACTACCAGTTGTCCTTCAATATTAATTCTCTAGATGTTCCTCAACCTTTCTATTTTTGCATTTCAAACTGCAAGTCTTCTGTGTCTTTCGAGCTGAGGTACACAGAAACAAGTACATGATGACCACAGAACAAACGCATTGAGCTCAAAGGATAACACAGGTGGTACCTCTCATCTGTAAGAAAAGAAAAGCTTGTTTTGCTCACATACTTGATAATTTCTCCATATTCATCCCATTTAATTCTTTCCTCTGGGGCAGGAAACATAGGATAAGACTTCTTGGCCTGTTTGAAGAAACTTCCCTTCCGACTGCCTTCCCCTTTCATCATGAGGTCATGCTTAGTCTTATGAGCCGACGGCTGGTCAATGTCTTCCTCAACATCACTCTCGTCGCTGGAATCTATATCTGCCCTGAGAAGATTGTGGAAGAGAGAAAAGTTAGAAAGTCCCCCCAAATTTCTGAATTACTATCTATAAAATTATTATTGAATTAATTCAGTGATAATGTAATAATAACCAATATTGTTGGATTGATATTTTATAAAACATAGCATTAACTGCCAGTTAAATAAACACACATTAATTTTAGCACTGAAAAAATTGGCATTCTAGCACCATTTGAAAGACGTAACCAAAGTAATGGAGTCAAAAGACAATTTAAACATTTTCAATTAAACGTTTTTGTCAGAAATAAGTTCTCATATTACATATATGAACTTTTAATCTGTCTGAAAATAACTCACTCTTTTGACTGCTCAAGTTTTTTAGCAGCTTCTTTCTTCAGTTTCTCTTTTTCCAAGTACTCTTCAAGTTCTTTCCCTTCAAGCTTCACACGTTTCCTCAACTAAAGAAAAACAGCAGAGGAAAGGAAACATCATTAGGGGGTTAAGGCAGTCGGGGGGTGAGATGTATTATATCTCTAAACCGATTCATCATCTTTAACTAAATTTTCCTCTGAAATTATTCAAGTTTCCATTACATGCAATTACAGATCCTATACAGATCAGTACTAAAATTTAGCTGTCACATTTTCAGGATGCGTTTAATTTAAACTCAAACTGTTTTAAAAGCACCAATCAGGAAAAGAAAATACAGATAAGTATTTTTATAATTTGGAGTAGTCGAGGCCTACACATGACACAAAAGCCATAAAGAAAAAGATGAATAAATATGGCAATATGAAAAAAAATCTCTTTGACATTTTAAGTCTCATAAAATTAAAAGAAATTGAGAAAATGACTTGCAGCACTATACGACTATCAGAAGCTGCTCTTCCTAAGAGCTCTTCCAAATCAGCTAAGGAAAAGATGACCGACACATCAAAAAGGACCAAATATACACATAAGCAATTCACAATTAAGAAAAATAAATAATAGCTATGAAAAGATGTTTAATTGCACTAACGATTTTTGAAAAATGCAGCATTTTTAAAATGTAATAAAAAATTTAATACTATCTTTTAATTTATGAGATTGGCAATGCTAATTATTGTACGGAGAAAGGGTACGTACCTTCATCCACTATCTATGGGAAAATTGAGCAACTGTGTTAGAAGGCAATTTGCCAACATGTAAATATAAAAATGTGCTTGTCATTGGACACAGCATTTCTACTTCTAGGAATTTATCCCACTGAAACAATCACACAAATGTGAGGGGAAAAAGTACATTGCAGCAATGTTTATAATAGTCAAAAAGTGGACACAACTTTAAAATCCATCAACATGGAATAATTAAATCAGTAGGTTTTAAACTTTTTGATCTCAGGATTGCCTGAGGTGCTGAAGAATTACTGAGAACTCCAAAGAGCTTTCGTTTTCTGTAGGTTACATTAACATTTACCATACCAGAACTTAAAACTGAGAAATTTAAAATATATTTATCTGTTCATTAAAATTAATAAAAGCATTACATGTTAATATTAACATATTTCTACAAAAGAAAATGATATATTCCAAAAGCAAAAAAAAAAAATTTGTGGACAGTATGGTATTATTTTACATTTTCGGCCAGTCTCTTTAACGTTTAGCTCAGTAGAGGACAGCTGCACTCTGACACCTGCTTCTGCATTCAATCTCTTGCAACATGTTGTTTTGCTTAAAGTGTATGAAGAAAATCCAGCCTCATACAGACATATAGTTAGAAAAGGAGAAAAGATTTAAATAGCCTTTCATGAATAGTCTCCTTTGATATTACATCAAAACTCAAAAAGTGGCAGTTTCTTAAAGGTTAGTTGTAACGTGGAATCTGAAACCATACCAATAACTTTTTGTACCCTGTTATATTAAACTTTATTGACTTATCTTGCACTTTGAATGCATCTTTTATTTGTGCATTATTTTCTAACAACATGCACTGGTTATTTGGAAAATACTCATTCACCAAGTTACACAGATCTTTCAAATGTTGACTATATATATATATATATATATATATATTTTTTTTTTTTTTCTTTTTCAGGAAGATTAGCCCTGAGCTAACATCTACCAGCAATCCTCCTCTTTTTGCTGAGGAAGACTGGCCCTGAGCTAACATCGGTGCCCATCTTCCTCTACTTTATATGTGGTACGCCTACCACAGCATGGCTTGCCAAGAGGTGCCATGTCCGCACCCGTGATCTGAACCAGCGAACCCCGGGCTGCCGAAGCGGAACGTGCGAACTTAACCACTGTGCCACCAGGCCAGCCCCCATGACAATATTTTAAAAATCACATTTGCAAATATCACCACCAACCTCATCAGCAAGGTCTTTTAAGTTGTCAATCTCACAGGGATGGTGTAAGTTTTCCAAATTTCTAACTTTCACTTGAAAGTTTGAATTTTATCAGATTTAAGCAACAAATACTGTCAATTGTTTTCCATAGAGTGACAAGCTCAATTTATTCATTTTTGAGAAAATACCTGTCAAATCGCCAAATCTGAATAACCACGTCATTATATCAAGTAAAAATAGTGTTTCAAGAAAAAAATGGCTTGTTTAGCTCACAACTCAAACAATTATGCAAGTAGCTTTCTTCAAGGTAAACATCATGCTTTCGGATGCAACACAGTGTTTTACACATACTTCCCATCTTGTCACCCACATTAGTAAAAAAAAACTTCTTACTAGAAGGATTTAATAAAATAACTTTTACTGCTTCATCAAGGACATTCTCAGGTGAAACTGACCTTTTTGGACCTACAAGCGTGTGGTGATGAAAACTGCAGTGACTACGTGTAGTTTGGCGCCACTGCCTTGATTCATGCTAAGGCACCAGCACTTTACCCACCGTTGCTTTCATTCCTCAGTATAAATGCAGGCATGGTAAAAAGGCCATGACATTTTAGTACTATTAGGAAAAATAGCTTTGACCTTGTGGACTCCCTGACAGAATCTCCAGGGCCCCTCCAGGGGTCCTCACATCATCCTTTTGAGAACCACTGGATTCAATAAGCACACTACATGTACACAATGTATTACTATAAAGTTACTAAAAAAGCGTACATTTATTCAAAAACATTTGAATGTTTTTAACAGACCAAGTACTATGTAAGGTCAATCTGTATCTGCTTGCACTGTTCAAGAATATGTGGGGAAGGGGAGGGCGGAGCAAAATGGCGGGGTGCGATGACCCAGGATTCTCTCCCCTCCAAAATACAACAAAAGATTGGAAGAACTGAATTTCAGAGAATAAACATAATGCCAGCTCGTTAGAGACCTAGAATACCAAGAAGGCGGAGATCATAACTTTGCTTACACCTTCGGAGGCGCTGGAACGGTAGAGAGAACATCGCTCCCTCCCCTAGAGTCTGCGATCGCTGTGGCGCGGGTCGGGAAGGAGCGGGGGAGGGGCCGTGCGACCGGGGGATCATCCTGGACTCCTGCCGCTGATTCAGTGGAGACCCGCTGATGGGGGGAAAGCTTCCGTCTGCGGGGACCCCATAAACCAAGGGCCTTGGGAGACCAGAGAACAGAACTGATCTGAACCCAGACCGGGGCCTGTGAGTAACAGCCCCTCCCCCCCAACAAAGCCAGTGGGCGCAGCCATCTTGCCCCAAGGCTGAGAGCTAACACGCCGCTCTCGACCCCCATCTAGTGGCGACAGGCTGTAACTGCAACTGAATTCTACCACCTCGACAAAAAACCGCTCCTCTACCATCCAGCAATTTATAAAAGCCCCAGACCAGAAGGAAAACAATAAAAACACAGAATTAAGTCCTGAGGACTTGGAATTAGGTAAACTAAGTGATAATGAATTCAGAGCAGCTATAATCAAAAAACTCAATGAGGTAGAGAGAAAGATAGAGAAACAAGCCGAGCTCTGGAGTTACTTCACAAAAGAGATTGAAATCATAAAGAAGAATCAAACAGAATTACTTGAGATGAAAAACACAATGGACCAGATAAACAGAATACGGATTCCCTGAATGCCCGTGTAGACAACCTAGAGGAGCAAATCAGCATAATCGAGGACAGACAGGCTGAATGGCACCAGACAGAGGAAGAAAGAGAACTAAGAATTAAAAAAATGAGGAAAATCTCCGAGAGATAATGGATTCAATGAGGAGTAAGAACATAAGGATCATAGGAATTCCCGAGAATGTGGAAAAGGAAAATGGAGCAGAAAGTGTGCTTAACGAAATTATTGAAGAGAACTTCCCAAATCTAGGGATCGATGGAGAAATGTGTGTAGAGGAGGGTTTTAGATCTCCTAGATTTGTCAATGTAAAAAGAGCTACTGCAAGGCACATAGTAGTAAAATTGGCAAAAAGGAAAGATAAGGAAAGAATATTCAGGGAAGAAAGAAAAAAAGAAGAGAATAATCTATAAAGGAGCCCCTATCAGACTGTCAGCGGATTTCTCTACAGAAACCTTACAAGCTAGGAGAGAATGGAGTGACATATTCAAAGCTTTAAAAGATAAAAATCTTCAGCCAAGAATACTCTATCCAGCAAGAATTTCCTTCAGATATGAGGGACAAATTAAACCTTTTCCAGACAAACAAAAGTTAAGGGAATTTGTAACTAAAAGCCCTCCATTACAAGAAATCCTCAAGAAGGCTCTCATACCTGAAAAAAGAAAAGAGGGAGAAAGGGGACACAAACCACAGACTAGGGAGACCAATGGATAGAACCAGAACAGGATAGCAAATATTCAACTATAGCATTAGGGTAAAGGTAAGGAAACTACCAAAGCAAGGACGATCTTATCACTCTAACTACAAATTCATAACACGAGTTGGAATAAAAAATGAAAATAATTATTTAGGAGGGGAAGAGCAAGGGTCTAAATCAGTATTGGTCAAGTAAGTAAGAGACCACCAGAGAATAGACTATATTATACACGAGATTCTAAATACAAACTTCAAGGTAGACACTAAAATAAAGTACAGAACAGAGTCACAAATCATAAATAAGGAAAAATCTAAGAAACCCAGCATAAGAAATTCCAGTATTAAATGGGTAGTCTAAAGCACACAGGAAAAGAAACACAGGAAAACAAGATAATGAGTGACAGACTGACAGCATTAAGTCCACATGCATCAATAATCACTCTCAATGTGAACGGATTGAACTCTCCAATAAAAAGACACAGACTGGCAAAATGGATTAAAGAACACGATCCAACAATTTGTTGCCTCCAGGAAACACACCTCAGCCCCAAGGACAAACACAGACTCAGGGTGAAGGGGTCGAGAACAATACTTCAAGCAAATAGCAAGGAAAAAAAGGCAGGTGTTGCAATTCTTATATCAGACCAAGTGGATTTCAAAATAAGACAGGTAAAGAGAGACACAGAGGGACAATATATAATGATCAAAGGGACACTTCATCAAGAAGAAATAACGCTTATAAATATCTATGTACCCAACACAGGAGCACCAAGATTCATAAAGCAACTATTAACAGACCTAAAGGAAGATGTTAAAAACAACACAATAATAGTAGGGACCTCAACATCCCACTCACATCAATGGACAGATCATCCAGACAGAAAATCAACAAGGAAATAGTGGAGCTAAATGAAAAACTAAAACAATTGGACTTAATAGACATATATAGATCACTTCACCCTGAAAGAGCTGAATACACATTCTTCTCAAGTGCACATGGAACATTCTCAAGGATAGACCATATGTTGGGAAACAAGGCAAGCCTCTACAAATTTAAAAAAAATGAAATAATAACAAGCATCTTCTCCGATCATAGTGCTATAAGGCTAGAAATTAATTACAAGAAAAAAGCTGAGAAAGGCACAAGGATGTGGAGACTAAACAACACACTACTGAACAAGCAATGCATCATTGAAGAAATTAAAGAAGAAATAAAAAAATACCTGGAAACAAATGAAAATGATAGCATGCCATACCAACTCATATGGGATGCAGCAAAAGCTGTATTAAGAGGAAAGTTCGTCGCAATACAGGCACATCTTAACAAACAAGAAAAATCCCAAATAAGCAACCTTAAAGCACACCTAACTGAACTAGAGAAAAAAGAACAAATGAAGCCCAAAGTCAGCAGAAGGAGAGAAATAATAAAAATCAGAGCAGAAATAAATACTATTGAAATGAAAAAGGCAGCAGAAAGGATCAATGAAACAAAGAGCTGGTTTTTTGAGAAGATAAATAAAATTGACAAACCACTAGCCAGACTTACAAAGAAAAAAAGGGAGAAAGCTCAAATAAACAAAATCAGAAATGAGCGAGGAGAAATAACAACAGACTCTGCAGAAATACAACAGATTATAAGAGAATACTACAAAAAACTATATGCCAACAGAATGGATAACCTAAAGGAAATGGATAAATTCTTGGACTCCTACAATCTCCCAAAGCTCACTCAAGAAGAGGCAGACAATTTGAACAGACCAATCACAAGGAAAGAGATTGAAACAGCAATCAAAAACATCCCAAAGAATAAAACCCCAGGACCAGATGGCTTTCCTGGGGAATTCTACCAAACTTTCAGAGAGGATTTAATACCTATCCTTTTCAAGCTATTCCAAAAAATTAGGGAAGATGGATCACTTCCTAACACATTCTATGAGGCCAACATCACGCTGATACCAAAACCTGACAAGGACACCACGAAAAAAGAGAACTACAGGCCAATATCACTGATGAACATGGATGCAAAAATTCTAAACAAAATTTTGGCAACCAGAATTCAGCACTTCATCAAAAGGATCATACATCATGATCAAGTGGGATTCACACCAGGGACACAGGGATGGTTCAACATCTGCAAATCAATCAACGTGATACACCAGATCAACAAACTGAGGAATAAAAACCACATGATCATCTCGATAGATGCAGAGAAGGCATTTGACAAGATCCAACAGCCATTTATGATAAAAACTCTGAACAAAATGGGCATAGAAGGAAACTACCTCAACATAATAAAGGCCATATACGACAAACCCATAGCCAACATCATACTCAATGGGCAAAAACTGAACGCCATCCCCCTGAAAACAGGAACGAGACAAGAATCCCTTCTATCACCACTCTTATTTAACATACTACTGGAGGTCCTGGCCAGAGCAATCAGGCAAGAAAAAGGAATAAAAGGAATCCAAATGGGGAGGGAAGAAGTGAAACTCTCGCTGTTTGCAGACGACATGATCTTATATATAGAAAACCCCAAAGAATCCACTGGAAAACTGTTAGAAGTAATCAACAACTACAGCAAAGTTGCAGGGTATAAAATCAATTTGCATAAATCAGTAGCATTTCTATGCTCCAGTAATGAACCAACAGAAAAAGAACTCAAGAACACAATACCATTCACAATCGCAACAAAAAGAATAAAATACCTTGGGGTAAATTTAACTAAGGAAGTGAAGGACCTATATAATGAAAATTACAAGGCCTTTCTGAGAGAATTGGATGACGATATAAGGAGATGGAAAGACATCCCATGTACATGGATTGGAAGAATAAACATAGTTAAAATGTCCGTTCTACCTAAAGCAATCTACAGATTCAACACCATCCCAATCAGAATCCCAATGACATTCTTTACAGAATTAGAACAAAGAATCCTAAAATTCATATGGGGCAACAAAAGACCCCGAATTTCTAAAGCAATCCTGAAAAAAAAGAACAAAACGGGAGGCATCACAATCCCTGACTTCAAAACATACTACAAAGCTACAGTAATCAAAACAGCATGGTACTGGTACAAAAACAGGTGCACAGATCAAGGGAACAGAATTGAAAGCCCAGAAATAAAACCACACATCTATGGACAGCTTATCTTTGACAAAGGAGCTGAGGGCATACAATGGAGAAAAGAAAGTCTTTTCAACAAATGGTGCTGGGAAAACTGGAAAGCCACATGCAAAAGAATGAAAATTGACCATTCTTTTTCACCATTCACCAAAATAAACTCAAAATGGATCAAAGACCTAAAGGTGAGACCTGAAACCATAAGGCTTCTGGAAGAAAGTGTAGGCAGTACACTCTTTGACATCAGTATTAAAAGGAGCTTTTCGGACACCATGCCTTCTCAGAGAAGGGAAACAATAGAAAGAATAAACAAATGGGAATTCATCAGACTAAAGAGCTTCTTCAAGGCAAATGAAAACAGGATTGAAACAAAAAAACAACCCACTAACTGGGAAAAAATATTTGCAAGTCATATATCTGACAAAGGCTTAATATCCATAATATATAAAGAACTCTCACAACTCAACCACAAAACATCAAACAACCCAATCAAAAAATGGGCTGGAGACATGAACAGACATTTCTCCAAAGAAGATATACGGATGGCCAATAGGCACATGAAAAGATGCTCATCATCGCTGATCATCAGGGAAATGCAAATCAAAACTACACTAAGATATCACCTTACACCCGTGAGAATGACAAAAATATCTAAAACTAATAGCAACAAATGTTGGAGAGGTTGCGGAGAAAAAGGAACCCTCATACACTGCTGGTGGGAATGCAAACTGTTGCAGCCACTATGGAAAACAGTATGGAGATTCCTCAAAAAATTAAAAATAGAGCTACCATACGATCCAGCCAGCCCACTACTGGGTATTTATCCAAAGAGCTTGAAGTCAGCAATCCCAAAAGTCCTGTGCACCCCAATGTTTATGGCAGCATTATTTACAAGAGCCAAGACATGGAAGCAACCTAAGTGCCCAGTAACAGACGAATGGATAAAGAAGATGTGGTACATATATACAATGGAATACTACTCAGCTGCAAAACAGAACAAAATCATTCCATTTGCAATAACATGGATGGACCTTGAGGGAATTATGTTAAGTGAAATAAGCCAGCAAGAGAAGGATAATCTGTGTATGACTCCACTCATATGAGGAATTTAAAATTATGGACTAAGAACAGTTTAGTGGATACCAGGGGAAAGGTGGGGTGGGGGGTGGGCACAAAGGGTGAAGTGGTGCACCTACAACACGAATGACAAACATTAATGTACAACTGAAATTTCACAAGATTGTAACCTATCATTACCTCAATAAAAAAAAAAAAAAAAAGAATATGTGGGGAAGGGGCTGGCCCAGTGGCGCAGCGGTTAAGTGCGCACGTTGCGCTTCTCAGCAGCCTGGGGTTCGCCAGTTTGGATCCCGGGTGCGGACATGGCACTGCTTGTCAAGCCATGCTGTGGTAGGCATCCCACAGAGAAAGTAGAGGAAGATGGTCATGGATGTTAGCTCAGGGCCAGTCTTCCTCAGCAAAAAAGAGGATTGGCAGCAGATGTTAGCTCAGGGCTAATCTTCCTCAAAAAAAAAAAAAAAAAAAAAGAATATGTGAGGGGCCGCCCCGTGGCCAAGTGGTTAAGTTCAAGCACTCTGCTTCAGTAGCCCAGAGTTTCGCTGGTTTGGATCTTGGGTGTGAACATGGCCATGCTGAGGCGGTGTCTCACATGCCACAACTAGAAGGACCCACAGCTAAAATATACAATGATGTACTGGGGGGATTTGGGGAGAAAAAAAGCAGAAAAAAAAAAAGAATGGAGTCTTAAGTACAAGTGGACAGAACAATTGTAAATCAGGGTCTAAAGTCACCAATGAATGACAGAGAATGACTAAGAGATCAGTGTCAGAAACAAGGAGAGGTCAGTGTGTTGTCAAGTCTGATGCCATGAACTGCAAAAGAAAGAGAAATGGCTTGAAAGCTGCAATATGGAACAAGGACACCTACCCGACACAAAGCATATGAAATGTGAAAGAGAGAAAAAGAGCTTCAACTTGAGAGGGCTACTGGAAAAAGAGTATCATTAGGAAAGAGCCAAATTTCAATTAAGGAAAGGATGTGAGAGGAATTTTTCAGAGAGATTGAGAATACAGTGTCTATGGATACCCTCTGGGTGTGGTTCCGGAGGATACCATGGAAGCGTTCAAGAATAGGAATTTCCAATTAAGGAACTCTGAAATGTGTGCTATTAAAGGCTCTCTGCTGTTGCTCTAATAAAAACCCTGAAACAGGGCTGGCCCGGTGGCATAGTGGTAGTGGTTAAGTTCACATGCTCCACTTCAGCAGCCCAGGGTTCGCAGCTTCAGATCCCGGGCGTGGACCTAGCACTGCTCGTCAAGCCATGCTGTGGCAGCATCCCACATAAGATGGAGGAAGACTGGCACAAATGTTAGCTCAGTGACAATCTTCCTCAAGGAAAAAGGGGAAGACTGGCAACAGATGTCAGCTCAGATATTAGCTCAGGACCAATCTTCCCTACAAAAAAAACAAATCCTGAGACAATTTCAAGTTTTATTTCTTGTCACTGATTTTTATAAACATAAGGTATAATGTATCCCCTAGGCAGTTTTAAGATATTTTACATACAAGTACTTACCTCTATTTCTGTAATTTTTTCAGAAGGATTATCAATTAGGAAACGTGCTAAAGTCCCAGGAGTAGTTCTGTAAGTTAGAATGATTGAGTTTTTAGGGTCCTGACACCACTGAATAAAGAGATCCCTTGAAAATCCACATTCCAGGTCAGGTTGGCTGGCAAGTACCACTTTTGGACTAGGAACTCGAGCCAAATCAGAAAGACCATGACATAAAGAGAGATGGCGAAACTGGAATGGATTATTTCTTTTGTCTTCAAAACATCTCATCAATTTATCACTCATCCATTCTACCTAATATAGGGGGAAAAGACGACAGTAATTAGAAAATACTATGGTATCACTTCAGTGTATTCTACAACAGTCAAGTTCAAGTTCTACTGTAAGTCTTTTCTGCCCATTGGTTGCTTAAATTTGTACCACTTTGACAAGCGGACTATTTTCTGTTGCTGTTCTCCGTTAGATCGTCCCACCCCAACGTTCACCCCTAAAAATCCAATTCTGCATTACGTTTCAGTCATAAGTCACCTTAAATCTTATTGGGAAGGCAGAGTCTAAGTTTCTAAATGCAATTATGCCAGAGATTGCTATTTCAAGGGAAAGAGTTTATTCAAAAGGCAGAGAAAAATGAATTCTAACATGTATATCCTATGAGGTAGGTTATATTTTTTGTCCCCATTTTACAGCCTGGGATACTCAGAGCTAGAGGTGAAGCAACTCGCCCAATTTGTCAAATGAAGACAAAAACAGAAACTACTTCACAGCATACACACGGACTAAATGAAATAGTATAGGTAAAGCACACAATAGTAAGTGGTTAATTTTTAGCTATTATTATTATTATCATCATCATCAACCTCTTCAACAGAATAATAAAATCCAAACGGCAATTAAGACACTCTTTTCCATACGCCCAATCACTGTGGCAAACTTCCTTATTACAAATGATTAACATGAAGACAAACCTGGGACTTAGAAAACTCTACCACATTATAACTGACGTTATTTAGGAGGGCCAATGAGTAAACACCCAATCCCGCATCTTTAGTTCTCCAAATTTGATCAAGAAGTTGAGCAAGTTCCAAAACTCTGCCTGCAGTGTCCACTGCTATTAACACATTTCCATCACCTCGAAGTGTTTCCAGGACATTTGCTAGAAAACAAGAATGTAAAACCCCTATAGAACAGCATAATACTTTGCCACAAAATTAAAGATAACTGTATCTCCCTGTTTTTACTATAAAGACCATAATTTATAAATAAGCAATCACTATGTCAGGTACAAAATAAAAGAATTTCATTCAGGTTATTACAACTACTTTTCATTCTGTCACTATATCTTCCTAAGAGTGAAAAACAATGCCATTAACTCTCAACTATTTTCATTGAAAAATTATAAATCAGTGGTTCCCAAGCCTTTTCACATCATAACACACAGAGAAAATGCGATTTGTATAGTAAACTGGGAAAACTGGGTGACAAGGCCAAATGCAACCAGCCTGGGGTTCCAGATCAGCCTGGTCTCACCTGTCCACCTCAATGAACTTTGTTATAAATAATTCCAAAATTTACACACACACACACACTTTATAAGACATATTTTGAATGTATGTACACCCATGGAACAAAATATGGATCACATTCCCTCTTCCAACAAAAATATCTTTATAAATAGATTTCCTTGCTCTAGATGAAAGTCTGCTTAGAAATGCTTGGTGAAACCAAACTCTAGCAAAAACAAACAAAAAACCCCAAGAATTAAAGACCATCTTAAAGTTAGCATAACACACTATACAAGTTATACTTTTTAAGTGCATAGACAAAGACAGTGGTTTCAAACATGTTTAAAAGTGAAATCCCATGTACCTTTTAAAAAAAGAATATAAGATAAAGCCACTCAAGTCAAAGCAGAAGAAACCAGGGATGGCCCCGAGGCACCTCTTTAGAACTAAGACTGCTAGATTAGAGTGTAAAACCGCCAACACCAAAATCAAAGAACCATTCGCACCCTCAGCTATCTCCTTTGCTCATTTTTCTTCTAGAATTTATATGTTTTTCTAATTGATTTACGTAAGATCTTTACATATTTTGGCATTCCCTAGACACACACCATTGAGTGCCAGGGAGGGCTAGCTATGTGATGAATGGCAGAGAAGCCAATCTTTATACCTATCCCCCAAAAGTTAAATTCAAACCAACTAAAGCATCTTTTTGTACAAAATATCGACAGGATGACATAAGATCTTTTCAAAAAATACTAGAGTTAGCAAGTCTCTTCTGCCCCAGTGTTACACAGAACAAACAGTAATTCCTACTACCGTGCACTTTCACAGCTCTTTAAAAAGGACATTCTGTAATACATACTCAGCAGTTGCTCATCTCTCTGCTTCCTCCTAGGCTGCACATACGTAGCATTAAATGAATCTGTGATAAGCAGGGAGGGTCTGCTTAGCATTTCCAGGGAGCATCCATTTAAGTGGCTGTAACAAAGTTGACGAAGAGGAATATTTTATATCACTTCAAATAAACAATAGCTTACCTAAACATTAAGCAACTTCTTTTATAAGGTTTTTTCCTCCTCAATCTATAAAAGTATACATGCTCATTAATAAGAAAATGTATAAAGAGGAAAATTAAAATCTTCCAGAGTATCATCACTCAGAAATAATCAATATATTTTAGTGTACATCCTTCTAAGCACATAAATAAATTTCTCTGATACATAGATGCACGTATTTGACAAAGGCGATATCCCAGGTATTCTCCTACATACTCAGTTCTACATCCTGGTTTTTCTCCCATGACAGGAAAACTTTTTTCTAAATCTTATTTTTAACAATTGTAGAAACTTCCTATTGCGTCTGTACTGTATTTATTTGATCATTTCCCTTTATGGATATTTAGGTTACCCTTTTGCCATTATAAATAATCTCTCAAAGAATATTTTTGCAAAGAGCTTCAATTGCATTTCTGATTGTTTCTTTAGGACACATTCCTAGAAATGTATTTATTGGAATATACTATATTACTAAACGGCTTTCCCAAAAGGTTTAACCTTTTCCAGGACGCTCTCCCTTTTCCAGAAAGGTTCAACAAGAAAGACTGACAAACTCACTATTTCCCAGAAGAATGCTACCATTTAAAAATAATTTTAGGGGGCTAGCTCCGTGGCATAGTGGTTAAGTTCACGGGCTCTGCTTTGGCAGCCCAGGGTTTGCAGGTTCAGATCCCAGGCGCAGACTAGTACTGCTTGTCAAACTATGCTGTGATGGCAACCCACATAAAAAAAATAGAGGAAGACTGGCATGGATGTTAGCTCAGCGACAATCTTCCTCAACCAAAAAAAGGAAGATGCCAACAACGTTAGCTCAGGGCCAGTCTTCCTCACAAAAAATAATAATACTTTTAATGGTATTTAATTTTAAAAGATCATTATCACTTAAATTTTCTTTTTTGACTTTATAACTTTTGTTCATTTTGCAACTGGTATCTTTCTGATTGATTAATACCTGGTGTTAGATATGTAAGTCTTTAGCCAACTTGCTGCAAATATTTTCCTTAGTTTACTGGTCTTTTAATTTAGTTTATTGTCTCAGATATTTTGAACCTGTATATAATGAAATCTATCAAAGTTTCCCTTTATAACATGGCCCACTGCTTTCACGCTTACAAAGTCTTTTCCAACTCAGAGATCAGACTCACCAATAGTTTCACTTTCTATTTAATTCTAATCCACTTCAAACTTATTTTGTTATATGCTTAAAAAAGACACAAACTGACTTTTTTCCCAAAACGATTGATTACCATTCACTCCAACATCCATCCTTTCCTCATTAATCTATGATTACAAGAGCCCAAAGTTCAATTTATTAGTCTTAAATATTTCTTAATATAAGACACAAAAGATCTTGAGGCTACTGTAATCTAACACAAAACAGCTGTGAACTTAATCTACAGAAACAACAAAAGAAGCCTGTATGAGACTAAACACCAAAACAGTTTTACAGTAATCCTGTGAGTATAAAATGAAGTACTTAAAATTATACTACTGTGTCCCCTTTTAAAGGGAGTCTGGCTTTAAAAATAGTTACATTAGATGGTAAGTGCTGACTTTACAAAAAAAAAAAAAACCACCCACAAAGTTCCTTTAAATAGCAGCTCAAGAGCATATAAAAATATAATTTGACGTACAAAAAGCAATCTCCTTTGCAACATCTCCAGAGGGATATCTGTTTTATAGAGTGGATGTAAATTTTAATATCTTTTATTTCTTATATCAAACTTCCCCCTTGTAATGCAAATAATTAAGTAATTTTGAAAATACTCACTATCTGATGCTTTTAAATTGCCCAAGATTTCTGGTTGATAAATTGCTTTGTTTCTAACTTTCCCTCCAAAGAATGAAAGCATACCAAGCGCGCCTCCCTTAGCTTTCGTCTCGATATACCTACATCTCCCTCTTGTGGTTGAAGTCAACTGCGTAAACAATTTCTTCTTCTCCATCTTTGACTATTTTCCATATTGTTCCACCTATCATATGACCAGCTGGCAGAGGCGTAATAGACAAGCCATGTCCTTTACCTATGTCAACAAGAAATGACAATACTCAGATTTCTTCTACAACCTAAAGAAGGGTTATTTATTTGTAAGCTATTTTTTAACAGGTAATACAAAATTCAAAAGTAACAAAGCATTCAGTGAAATGCAAGTCTCACTCTCCTGCCTCCTAGCTACTCCATTCCCTCACCGGAGGCAAACGCTCTCGTCACTTTATTACGTATTCTTGAGAAGGCTGGTGATTGGACCTAAAAGCTAGTACACTATTAAATTACTTAGGATGAACTAACACATTTTAATATTTATATTGTACATACAGTTGTCAAGTGGTTCCATTTTCGCTAATCTCTAAACTGACAGAACAACAATTCAAATCTCATGGTAAAGAATTATTTATCCTATAGAAAAATTAAGTACAAACGAACCAGTTGAGACCATTGTTACTTCCCGGCTACAGCTTCAGAGTCCATTGTTGTATCAGTTTTTCAATGCCAGGGTTCACATTTATGAAAATCTTTAATATAAAATTCTCTCTGTAGATGATAACGATATACTTAACATACGACTTCCCAGACTGATTAAATAATAAACGTAATGTCTGATTCTAGAACCCAGTCATTTTCTACGCTGTGCTGCCACAGCACCTCATTTCCTTCAACCACCGCGTTTCGTCATCTGAGCTACCTCATCGCCTCAACCCAACTGTGAGCTCCTAGGAGGACAGTCTGGCCGCATCACTTTTGTGCATTATACACAGTAAACACTACGTAAGTCTCTCTCAAGTTACATGTGAAAAGGCCTGAGCTGTTAACATTTTGTTAGTATTTAGTCTGGAATATTTTAAAATCCAAATGACTTGGGAGAAGCTCAGAGCTCCATATCAGAAAATGCTAATTATTTATTCTTCAGACCATAGAGTCTATAATTTTTACTACAAACGCCCCTTGTACTTTTCAGTAAGTTAAGCCCCATTGGTCCAATTATTTACTACTGGAAACATTTTTTACCTTTCAAATTCACAATCTGAGAGAATTTTAACTGTTGTATTTTATCAAAGGCTGCATCCACATCATCTAATGTAAAGAGTGTAAAATCTTCTGTATTGTGTCGAGACTAAAAGAATAACACAAATAAAAGGTTAAAAATGATCACTGCAGGAGTGTAAAATTTTTTTTAATTGCTTTAAGTTACCTGATAGAGATCATACATGAACATCTGTCCCATTTTATAAACAGGAATGGTTGCATAGATAGCACAGTTCAGACCCAACTTCCCAACAGCGTACGGGAGGGCGCCCAGATGGAGAGGGTCAGGGTGAGACAACAGCACTGCATCGATCTGGTGAACGTGCCTAGGAGAACACAATCAGAATGACTATTTCTCAAAGCTTGTTTTCAAGGGTAAAGGCAGGATATTCAAAATTAATTCACCAATTCTGATTCCTCTTAGTATCCTGGATTGAGGACTATGCTGGGGTAACAGAGCAAAACTAAGAGCTCAAATTATACCTATGAATTTCAATTATTACTACCCTGTCCTGCATAAATATTAAAATTATAAGTTGCACACAAATATATGGTGTCCAGACACACTGAAAATAAAAGACAGAGAAACAGTAGACAACACACATAGCCCAATTTTAAATGGCTATCTCGTATACTATTAAGTTCAAGAACTCAGCTTGGAATTTCAGAAATCGTTAAGTGGAGGATATTTAAATGGCCACGTATCTATTGTGAATTTTTGCCTCAGCTTTTTAGCATGGTGACTGATAGCATATTTATTATAGCAGAACTTCAATCAATGGAGCATATGCTCTCATTGACAAAATAAGTAGAAAAAAATTTTTTATGCTACAAGTTCTAAGTTTTTTAAACGTCGAAGTCCTCTTTCCCTTCATAATTAGCACAATACTGCAAACATAACAATTTTTCTTTGATGGATTAGGATCCTTTTGTATCTTACAGTCATTATTCTGAGAACCAATTCTCGAAGTCTAGCATCAAAAAACTAAAGAAAGGAGCTAACGTGATCTGACCGCAGAACTTTCACGTGGAAGGTTCTTCCTCTCTTCAAATTCTTATAAACTTAAGCTTGCTCTTTCCTAAAATTAGGGTGCAAAAGTTGCAACTGAGATCCATAAGCCAAGTAACAAGATTTTGCCGATTTCAATAAACTTCTAAGTCAATCAAAACTTTACAAGTGAAGATGGTCACTATTTGGCTCTTTGGCATAATAAAACTAAGTCTTTGCTATACACTAAATTAGAGCAGAAAAGCAAACACTGTGTAACATCAACATGGTATTGGGGATAGAAAAGAGAAGTTGATTTAACAAAAGTCTAGAAATATGAAAAGTAACTTACTTTCTCAGGGAATCTATAATATCCATAGAAAAGTGCTCATCCCAGCCACAGTCCAATAAAAATCTAAACTCATCCACTTGGAGAAGATAACAAAGAGCAGACTCTTCTTGGACCCCAGAGAGGGTAGTTAATTTGATAATAGATGTCATTTTTTTGGTCCAATAACAATCCAAAAGGTTCTTTCAAAAGAAATAAAACATAATTAAATATAAAACCGCTACCTAACATACACAATAGACAAATTAACTAAAATTATATCAAATTTCTAAGTGTACAGAATTTCCATAAACATGGAAAGCAAACATTAAGAACCATTTCCAGGGCCGGCCCTGTGGCCGAGTGGTTAAGTTCATGCATTCCGGTTCGGCAGCCCAGGGTTTCCCCAGTTTGGATCTTGGGTGCGAACCTAGCACTGCTCATCAAGCCATGCTGAGGCAGCGTAGCAGAACTAGAAGGACCTACAGCTAGAATATACAGCTATGTACTGGGGGGCTTCGGGGAGAAGGAGGAAAAAAAATTAGCAACAGATGTTAGCTCAGGGCCAATCTTTGAGAAAAAAAGACCCATCTGCATCATTGCTGAGTTTCAAAGTGCAAACATGATCTTACACTCTTGGTTACAATGAGTCTTTCAGTGGCTCCCCAGTGTGGTTTAATAAAAAGTAGCGGACTTTGGGATCAGACAGACCCACATGTGAATCTACTCCTGTGTGGTTCTGGGCAAGTTAATGAACCTTTCCTCACTCATGTGTCCCAGTCTATAAAACGTATTAACATATACCTAAAAAGTATGTTGGCAGATTTCAAATAACGGGCAAATTACCTAGAATAGAGACCAAGTTCCTCAATAAATAAATGAATACTGAATTAACAAACTCATCTTTCAAGGTGAATTTGTTCCACCCTTATTTGCTCCATGATGGCAGTGATTACACTGCATCACAATTATTAGTTTACAAGTCTTTCTCTCCCATTAGACCAGTGGTCCTCATATAAATAGACCCCCTCGAGAATCTGACAAAAAGCTATGGACTCCTCCTTCTCCCCCAAGTCATCAAAAACAAAAACAGAAAACAGCAAATATACACATAGAAATTCACATACTTGTCAGGAAGTTAATAATATTAAGAACCCTTGCACTAGAGTGTGAGCAACTGAAAAACAGAGACAGTATCCCATGTTTGCAATTCCTAAAAGAGAACCTGACACATAGTAGGTGCTCAACATATACTTGATGGAATGTATGTTGGGATGCCTACTACATACATTTCAAGAAGAGACAACATGAACACATCTATTGGGATTTAGGATCTAGAATTAGGTGCTATTAAATAGATGTTATAAAAATACTCATTAAAAAAGCACAGCTCCACAGTAACATTTCAGATCTTAGGGACTTAAAATAAAATAGCCTTTCCTGGCTAACCACACACGTAGGTGAGGTCACTGCATACCTGATGATCTAGCTTCATCTGCCCAAGGTCCTATCAACAAACTAAGGTAAACTGACTGCCCACCTCCCATAACAGGCTGTTGGAGGCTAATCCTACCCCATCTCCCATCCTTGTTCTCCTCAGTCATGCCAAAAAAAACCCACGACTCCTAGGTTATCCACTGTCACTGATGTGCACATCTCCTAGTTGGACCCAATCCCCTACCTCTTTTCCCTCCCAAATCCTTCGTCTGCCCTCTGGAACTATGATCATACTCACCTGCAACTTCAACCTCTGCTCTGAAGGTGTTCTTCACCTGCTTATCTTCACAGAAACCTGGCTGTTCTCAAATGACACTGTTTCTCCTGCAGCCTTCTGAAAGCTTTTTTTTCCTCTTCTACTCTCCGTACAGTAGTCCCCCCTTATGCAAGGTTTCACTTTCCACGGTTTCAGTTACCCACAGTCAGCCACAGTCTGAAAATATTATGTGCAGAGTCCCAGAAATAAACAATTCATGAGTTTTAAATTGTGCGCCACTTCTGAGCAGTGCAATGAAATCTCATGCTGTCCCCCGCTGTCCCACCCAAGACGTGAATCATCCCTTTGTCCAGTGTATCCACACTGTATACGCTGCATGTGCTCCCCACCCAGCAGTCACTTAGTAGCCAACTCGGTTATCAAATCAACTGTCACAGTATCACAGTGCTTGTGTTCAAATAACCCATATTTTACTTAATAATGGCCATAAAGTGCAAGAGTACTGATACTGGCAATTTGGATATGCCAAAGAGAAGCCATAAAGTGCTTCCTTTAAGTGAAAGGTAAAAGTTCTTGACTTAATAAGGAAAGAAAAAAAATCATATGCTGAGGTTGCCAAGACCTACAGTAAGAACACATCTTCCATCCGGGAAATTGTGAAGGAAAAAAAAATTTGCGCTAGATCTGTGGTTGCACCTCAAATATGTACGGATAGGAAAAATCACAGTATATATAAGGTTCAGTACCGTCCGTGGTTTCAGGCATCCACTGGCGGTCTTGGAATGTATCCCCCTGGAGAAGAGGGGACTACTGTACCTCAAAAGCAGGAGGGGTGTGTTCCTTGCTCCTCGCTGCAGCTTCCGAATCACATCTTCTCCTTCCCCCTTCCATACTCTAGGCCCGCTAAGGCTCATGCCACCCAGCTAGTTCACTAGGAGTCTTCTCTGCTGCCTCCTCGTTGCTGGTGTGCATTGATCTGACCTCATTCATTGAGGACTTTAGTTCCTGACTCAGTCGTCTTCTCAGTAGCTTCGATATGGACCTTAGTTCCTTGACTTTCTCAACTCCAACAATCTTCACCTCAGCCACCCACCACCATGGTTACACCCTAGACCTTATCAGTGCCAGTAAGCTGTGCCACTTTCAAGCACCTTACTCTCTCACTACCACCTTACTTACTCTAGTACTCCCAATGCAAAGATCCTTTGGCCTCACTGGTATCTCTAATCCACTGACCACTTTTGCACGATTCCTGATCCTCCCGTTTCCAAGCACGTCTTATCGTTGATGTACGATCCATCAGGATTATTCTGCAGACACTCTCAAGCTTTTTGCTGCTCTAGTCCTTCTTTGTATTAGCCTGGCAAAATCCCAACCCTGACTGACTCCAGTCATTCACTCTGTCGATTCCAGCAGCTGAATGCTGCCAGAAGAGAAAAACCCAATAACACAACTATGCTGTTTGCTCTTTAAATTCATGGCCAAAGATCTCAAACAGGCACTAAGAACTACCTGTGAATCTGATTTTTCTTAGGACTTTCCATCTCTGAGGCTATTATTTCACATCTCTCCTCTGCTCAAGCATCATGCACCCCTCTCTCCTCCCTACTCTCAGCTGATAATCTCACTTCATTTAGAAAATAAAACCAATCAGACAGTAACTTCTCACCTTCCAATACCATATCTATTAACCTATTTGCATATACACTGTTGTATCTCCTACTATACGGAAAAATAGCCCTGTTCTGATCCAAGGCCAGTCTCCTATATGTGCTCTGGATCCTGTTCTCATCCTCGAGGGCTTAACTTCTTCAGTCATTCCCCCTTTCCTCTGCATGATGGATGTACCATTCCTATTAGAACACAAAGATACTCGAGAATTTCCCAACTTAAAATAACCCTCTCTTAATCCTACAATCCCTGCAGTCACTTCATCATTTCTGCTCCTTTCACAGCAAAATTTCTCAGAATATTTGTCCACAAACATGTCTCCACTTTCTCACCTCCCATGCACACTACCAAATCTGGCATCTTTCTCCACCATTATCACTAGAAGTGCTTTCATCAAGGTCACTGACAAACCTCTACACAACTTAAGCCAAGGGACATTTCTTTGGCCTCAATTTTCTGGAAATCCTAGCAGCATTCAGTCAAATTAACTGCTCCATCCTCCTTGAAATGCCTTCCTCTCGCTGTTCCTGTGTCAGCCCTTGTCTGGTTTTCCTTCTACCTAACTGGCCACTCCTCAAGCTCCTTTGTTAATTCCTCTCTCTCTCTCTTTAACCTCTAAATGCGGCAGTGCTTTTCAGCAGGACCTCTTTTCTTCTGTCTTTCTAGGTAATCTTACCCAGTTCCATAGCTTTAAATATCGTCTGATCTCTGATGGCATCATCCTTGAGTCCTTCCTTTACTTTTGTTTCCCACATCCAATCCATCAGTACTTCTCAAATTCCCTTCTATCTCCACTGTCACCAAGATCTCTAACTACTTTGTATATTTTCCCGGCCTCAAACCTATTCTCTCAGACAGTTTCCTGACCACCCAAACTCCTTCCCCACCCCAGTCACACCCTATGACGTCATTCTATTGCCCTCAAAATACCTCGTGCTCTCCGTACTCGCAGCTTATTTCTCTACTCGCCTTGTCCATCGTCTTCTCTCTTCCTAAGCCCCACAGTGGAATATGGACTCCACAGAAGTACAGACCTTGTCTATTTTGATCACAGTTCTATTCCAACGCCTCCACAGTGCCTAACACAGAGTGGTGATCTATAAATGCCTCTTGAGTGAGTGAAGCACGGCTAGTGTTCAATGGGTTCAGTGCCCTTACCACACTATTAACACTTCCCCATTTGCATGCATTTCCTCTGGCTTGGACAGCTCTCTGAGTGCAGGACTAGGCTTGATCTATTTTTGTATCCTTACTGTATTAGCACATGTCTTATGCATAGTGGTGGGTCAATAAACAGTTGTTGAAGTAAATAAGTTAAAATTAAAAATACATGGACTTAACGTGTTCCTATTCGTAAGGGATAACAAGGACTGAGATACTGATTCTCTACTTGATGAAAAATGTTTATAAATGCAATTTTGGAAAGGACCTAAGAAATTCTGTCTGCCAAAAAGCTTCTTGTATCACCATTATATTACTGGCTGAGGAGAAACTCTTTTTCTAACCAAATCTGCCTTAACTCCTACTGTCTTTATTTAGACTATGAAGTGATAATACAAAGTATCTTGCAGATAGAACTGAATGAGTTTATTTTAAACCTTTTTTGCAGGCAGACCCACAGATTTCAACAGATGAAAACATATTTTTATTGCAACTGCTCATAATATAATAAAGCTATATCTTTATTAGACATTCATTACTTACTGATATCTCAGTCGTATATAGGATGAAACACCATGAATTCAAAGGAAGAGTTCTTTATAAATCTAAAAAATAAATAAGAGTCTCATGAACGTGGTATAATGATTTACTTCTGTTTTTAATTATGGAGTTTAACTTCTACGTCTTGTCCTAAGATGAACACTGAGCAGCAGCAAGGAGTCTAATATACGGTCCTTTTTTAACAAAGAGACTTGTAATTTTAGGAACCTTAAGCTTACATAAAACAAATAGGGATAAGATAATAAAACATATGCTAAAAAGAGACAATAATAATAATGAACTAAATTAGTTATTATCAGAGGCTGAAATATGCAGTTTAGGGAATAAGATTTTTAAAACTGACATTAGTTTATGCTATTGAGAATCATAAAAGAGGTGGGATCTTAAATTATTCATTAAGGATTGGTAGGACCTGGGTAGAAAGAGACAAAGAGAAAAGGCATTCAAAACAGAGGAATAACATGATCAAAGGCACAATTAAAAATTTACAGAGTACCAATAAAAAAATTAGCCTGGCACACTTTCACATAAGGAAAAAATGAAAAAAAAGGCCTAAAGCATAGAAAAGGGCCAGACAATGAAAGGCCTTGGAAACTTTGGACCTAGTTCTACAGACAACACAGAAACATTTTAAGATCCACTATCAGTAAGAAGAGGACATGATATAGGTAATTCTGTATTTTAGGAAAATTAGCTGGTGTGTACGACTGATGAGATAAGAAGATGCAGAAAGCAGGGAGATGAAAAGGAGAGTATTTGGCAGACCACTTCCTCCTTTGAACTTGGCTGGTTCTATTTTGAGACTAAATTTCCTTAGCCTCAAATGTGCTTTATGACTCCACGACATGAATTCTTTAGTTGTTGTCTAAGTCACCAAAGTTTGGAAGTCTACACGTTTCATTCCTTCTTTTACTTCTTCTTGAACACTCTATTACCAACTCCTGATCATTTTCCCCCCAGAATGCCCTGCACACGGATCACCCACCTTCCATTCCTGCTGCCAGTTTCTTAATGCAGGGCCTCATCACCTTACATTTGAGGTCTGTTTCTCTGTCGCCAGTCTTTCCTCCCTTCATCTCAACCTAAACATTCCCGCTAGATTAATCTTCAGAAACGCCCCTACACATATCATCCCTTGCTCAGAAACCTGTAAAAGGCTTCTTACTGCTTGAAAAAAACAAAACCCTGAATGCCTTAACTGACACTGAAGGGAGCTAGCAAGCTGCCCCCACATTGCTGCTCACCATCATCTCAAGGCCCAGCTCAAACTCCACCTCCTTCCTAATTCCTCTATCTTTAGTCTAGACTACAACAGCTCTGTCCAACAAAAGCAGGATGCAGGCCACAAATGTAATTTAAAATTTCCTCAGAGCCAAATGGAAAAGCTTTAAAAGTGGAATTAATTTTAATATATTTTATTCAAATCAATATGCCCAAAATATTATCATTTCAACATGTAATCATTATTAAAAAATTATTAATGACATATTTTACATTCTGTTTTTCATACTAAGTCTTCAAACTCCAGTGTGTATTTTATATTTACAGCACATCTCAATTTGATCTAACCACAATTTCAAGTGCTCAATGGCTCCATGTAGCCTGTGGCTGCTGTAACAGCACTGGTCTAGACTCTGAAATCAATGCTTCGGACTAGAGAGCATTAAGCTCTTTCCCTTCTCAAGAGCAGGTTGGCACCATTCTATTTTTACATACATGTCTTCAACTTGATTTTAATGGAATCACCAACCATTCAGTCTCCCAAACTAAAAACTCTGGAGTCACCTTCTTACCACCAACTTGGCTGCCACCAGTTGAATCCTATTTAACATTTCAGAAATGTCTCTCTGACACCCTTTACTATCCTACCTCAGTTGAGGCACTCATGACCTTACCTGAATGATTGCAATTTGCTTTCATCTAGTTTTCCTGCTGCAAGTTGACCTTCCATACAGCTGTCAGAGAGACCTTCCTAAAAAACAAATACACTCATGCCCCTTCCTTGAGCAAAGTACTCACTGGCTTTCTGCTAACATGAATAAAATGTTAACTCCCTAGTTGGAAATCAGTCCTTCATAAGTTGATCTCAACCTCCCTCTTGGTTCACCAACCACCCTTGCACTGCAGGCCCAAGCACATATATTTTCCCACTCTCCCTAAGTATGCCAAAACTTCTCACATCTCTGCATCCCTGTACTGCATCCAGGAATGACCTTTTCCTGAGCCTAGTAAACTCCTTTTCACCCTTCATGACCCAGCTCAAATATTTACTCCTTTATAAAGCTTTTTTGGTATCCTCAGGCAGTTATTCATTCACCTAGCACAAAGTGGGCACAAAGAACATTTGTCCAATGGATGTTAAATGTATTGGCAAAGAGGAAGAGTGATCATCTTTGTACGGCCAATACCAAGCATAGCACTCAAAGCAACAGAAATGTCTAGGGAAAGAAGGAATGAACCCTAACCATCCAAATTCCTTCAGGGCAAGGATTCTGAGAAACACTGCTTCATCTGTATGATCTATCACAGTTACTTGCTCTATCAATAACGACCTGGCACGTTGACGACAACTAAGGGGAACTATGCAAAATCCAAAGGAGAACCAAGGAATCTGGGCTGGCCCTCGAGCTCACTAAGTGCGAAAAGTGTCTTCCTGGTCAGTTTGGGGAGAGCAGCAGCTTCCTAAGAGGATGAAAGGGGCTGTAAAATTTTTAAAAAGGGATGAGCGAGGGATAACTCAGCTTCGCCTGAGCACAGGCGGCCAGACTTGCCCGGGTGATGGCTAGTCTGACCTCCTGTTTACGGAAGAGCGTGTGCAACGGAGCGATGGTGGAAGTGATGGCGGAGGGGGCTGGAGGGCCGAGACGATCATGATAAAGCAGAGGAACATCTTAAAGGTCTCTGGAGTCGATTAACTAAAAAGGACGCCTACTCTGTGCCCACTGGTTAGCAGCCTCGTGAGCTCTCAACCCGAGACGATGGGAAGACCCCGAGCGAGGAGGCTACGGAGCAAAGCTGGCGTCGGATTGCCTCCTCCAGCTCCGAGGCCGAAAGGGCGGAGGGAAACGGCAGCCAGGAAGGAAGGAGAGCACGGGAGTGAACCGTCCCGACTGCCCCCAAACACCGGCAGCCTGAGACCCATGGAGAAGCCGCTTCTTTCCCTCGCCGGGCACTTCCGCCAGGAAGGACCAGGCCAGTGGCACCCGACACCCCGGGAGCACGTCCCCAGCGGAGAGCGAGTGGGAGTCGGAGCCAGGCTCCCCGAGGGCCGAGGACGCTCCCTCCCCCATCCAAAGGCGCACTCCTTTCTCCCGCCCCACTTGCCTCGTCAGGCCTCCCCCAACGCCGTCCACTGCCCTGCCCAACCCCTAGTCGAATTCAGGTTCAAGAGCGAGAAAAGCTGACGTTCGCTCAGCAGCATCCGTGACGATCCGCCAGCAGAGACCCCTCCATGGCGGCCGCCATTTTGAAATTGGAGGCGAACTGCGGAGGCGGGGAAGACCCAGGGTGATACCATCTTCGGGGGGGGAGACAAAACTGTAGGAAGGAGATGGCGCTTACAGCGACCAGTCTCGTCATCTGGGACTGAACCTTTATTTTAAAATAATTTATAATGCGTGAAAGCTAAAATAGGAAGAGAAGAGTCAAACATCACAAGGAAGAAGAGGGAGGATTTCCCGGGCCACCCCTCTCTGCCACCGGGCGCGGCGAGTGGTAGGTGCCGAGGCCGCCGCTTCCGCCGGCGCCGCTGGCTGGGCTCGCCGCTGCTCGAGGTCGTGGGGTCGTTGCTGCCGCTGAGGCCGCAGGTGGGTCCGGGGTCCTGGGTTGTGCAGGCGGGGCGGGCGCCCCTCTAGGCCAGCCCCCGGCGGTGGGGTGTGCATGGGACGGGGTCCGGGCCTCCGCGGGGCCGGAGCGGCACAGCGGCCCAGGGCTTCCCGAGGCTTCCGAGCCAAGGAGACGGGGAAGGGAAAGAAAAATAGGGGCTTCTTTCGGATGGACGGCTGGGCTCACGTTTCGCGCCTGGCGGCTTTTGGAAAAGCTGTCATAACCGGAGATCACCCGGTGACTGCCCCCTGGCCGGACCGAAGAGGGGACCGGCCGTGCTCACCCTCCCAGGCTGAAGCGGGGAAGGGGCGGCTTCTCCACGAGCATCTCTGATTCGTGCAAGTGTCAGATTGGAAGCTAGCTTCCCTCTCTGCTACATCTCAAACCATCTTGAGCCGACCATTCCACAAAATATGCACTTTTTAAGAACATAATTAAAGGAAAAAAATAGTATTAATTTGTGCGTGGTTTCTAGAGTGTTATGTCATTAAGACAGGGTTCCAGACCTCGGGTTCAGTTTCTCCATGCATCCAGCACTGTTTTTTTTTATAGATTAAATCGACGCTTTTTGATTAATACATATAAAGTGCTGTGGGGACCAATTAGAGAGTAGAATTTATTTTTTTAATGTCCTGTCATCTATATTTTTCCAACGTTTATTAAGAAGGACTTACAAAAATACACAGCAGATGCGGTTTTCTTTTTAGAAGTTAAGCGGAAAAAAATGAGTTGAAGAAAAGATAATGTTAGGAAAAAATAAGGTAAAGCCACGAATGAGGTTAATATAAATATTTACGTCTATACTTGCTGTAAGAGACAGTCAAGCAGAAATAAAGAGCTTGGACCAAGGTGCCAGACTGCCTGTCTTAATCCTAGCGCTGCCACTTCCTGCATCTGTGACCTAAGGCAAGTTGATTGTCCCTGGATTTTCTCATCTGAAAAAAAGACACCTACTGCATTGAGGACGTTGTGTTAGTTAATACGTGTATAGTAACGTGAGGATTTCTTATTTGGTGATTATGAAAAGCAGTAACAAGCATGCCTGACAGAGAGTGCTGTAAGAGCTCTTTCTAGAGGTGGGAAAAAATTGGGGTCATTTTGGTGTCAAAGGATACGTGATCCAGTACATTATTCCTTGAGTCCATAGGATAAAAAACAATTAGTTTTCCCCCCCCCCAGGAATACCATAGCTACTCCCAGTTCTTAAGTGAAAGCAAAATTTTTCTTGAGAGTCTTCATGAAAAGAAGACACTAATTATATGCACAATGCCCTCATGGGCACCCGTGTGGCTATCACTCTTCGGGCAAACCTAGGCTTGTCTCATTGGAGCCTGTCCCAGGTCCTTGCTGCCCTTTGCCCATCGTATAAAGCTCCCTATAGTCTTGGGCCCACAAACCTGAGGGCCTGTCTACACTCCCCTTCTTATCCATTCTCCAGAGATTCCTTCTTGCTCAGTTCTTATGTCTACAAATCTTTATCCTCCCTGGTCACCCACTCGCAGTAAAACACACAGGACAAATTATGTTCAGTGCCGCTGCTCCTAGAGTCTACTAAGTAGTAGATTGTACCGTGGTTATGTGAACTGCCTCTGGGACTAAGATAAGTCATTTTCCTCTTAGAGATGGAATCAGGCTTTCATCACGGAGGTTGAATCCAACTCTGGATTCTGAATGTACAAAACCCTTTTATCTATCAGTCCCGCTGTCTTTACCCTGGAGTCTCTTTAAGAGCCTGTTTGCAGCAAGAGCCTCAGAGGCTTGTCTCATCTCTTCTACCACCCTGAGTAGAGCCAGGTGAAATGAGCTTCTGGTCCTGTTGGAAGAATGCCAACAGTAATGGCTTATAGTCCACAGGTGGCCATGGTCTTATTTAAAATAGTCGTGGGCTGAGAGTCAGCAAGTACTTTTTTGTTGTTAAATACAAACAATATCTAACAGCTGTGCTGAGGGTTAGACCTGTCACCTCTTAAGAAATTTGAGGAGCCTAATAAGGACAGGTGGCAGAATAGATGACCACTGGATTTCTACAGAGACCTATATTGTCTAGTATTTTGCAGTTTAGTGCTATCACCGTTATCTTACTTGATTAAGGCATTGTTATTCCCATACTTGACTGGCTCAAGTTTATAAAATAAGTGGCAAACTTGGTGGGCACTTGGTCAGAATCACAAAAAGTACTTAAGTGTATAAAAAAGTATTTAAGGATCTACATGCAAATGTTACTTAAGGAAAGCACAGTGCGAAGAGAACCACCTCCTAGCAAAGAAGGTAAGCTTGGTTACGTTTACATTTATATGTCCTAGAATGACTTGCATCAAATCAGCTGGGGAGTTCTGCCACTACAGATGTTTCCAGCCCCACCCCACAGGGAAGCCCAAGGAGTCCGTATTTTCAAAAAGGCTCCCCAGGTGATTTTAATGTGCAGTCAAGTTTGAGAATTTCAGCTGTAGATGATAGACTAAAACTTAAAACTTCCTGATGACTAAATTATAAATTATCTATTTTAAACATCTTACACTGTAATTTTCTAGATCAGTAATAATCTGACTGGAACTTATGAAATACAGTATATAGTAATGGTGCCACTTTTAACTTCATGGCTGTTTCCTAACCCAATGCCTTTAGACAGTGAGTGATTAAAGTCTGAGAAATAAAGAATTAGAATGTGTAAGTGTGAGAATCGACATCTTAGAAGAAGAGGCAGGAATCCAGTATACATAATCCTAGCATAGTTCAGTGCTAAGCGTTTTGTTGGCAGTAATATATTCTCTTTCTAGAGTATTGTCATATGTCTTCTCAGCCTTTGTATGTGATTCATTTTAGATTCGTATGCACATGGATATATTTTGATTTCATCTTTAGGTACAAATTTTTACAGAAAATTGACAATCACTATGTTTTTATTGAATGAGTACAAATTTATTTTCTCTGTGCTGACTTCCAGTCCTTCTCGTCCTCCTTCTCTGCCTTGTGGAAACTCTTAGAAATTAAAAGCTGTTAAGTACCATAAGTATCAATTGAGGGAGGGGTCTCTTAGGGAGGCATTGTGATAGGTATAATATGAAGAATCCAGAGCTTTGGAGCAAACCTGAGTTTGAGTTCCAGCTCTGCACTTAATACAGTCATATCCTCCTAAGGACATTTTGGTCAACAACAGACAGCATATTCAGTGGTGGTGCCGTAAGATTATATTGGAGCTGAAAGATTCCTGTTGCCTACTGCATCTGGAAGAAGACACTCAAGAGGTGCGTCCGTGACTTCAAAGGATTTGCCAAGGATGAGGAGGTTGGCAAAGTCAACCAGGCTGTGGCTGAGATGGTGGATGACTTTAGCCTGGGTGCGGATGAGGATGCCACCGAGCAGCTCCTAGAGGTGGTTCCTGAGGAACTGGCTAATGAGGGGCTGTCGGAACTGGAACAGGAATGCATAGCCGAAGAAGAGGCGAGAGAAAAGGAGAAATCAGGAGAAGAAAATGAAGAAGAACCCCCAAGAAAATTCACAGTGAAGGGTTTAGCAGCAGCCTTTGCACACCTCAACAAGCTCCTTAAAAAGTTTGAAAACATGGACCCCAACACCAAAAGGTTTGCATTAATAGGGAGGAATGTTCATGGTGCATTATCTGCTTACTAGCAAATCTGTAACGGAAAAAAAAAGCCCAAGCAAACTACCATGGACATATTTCTGGAAAGAGTCACACTTCCTCAAGAAGAGGCTCAGGCAGGTCCTTCAGGAGGTATTCCAGAAGAGGCATTGTTATCATAGGAGATGACAGCTCCGTGCATGTTACTGACCCTGAAGACCTTCCAGTGGGACGAGATGTGGAGGTGGAAGACGGTGATAATGATGACCCTGACTCTGGGTAGGCCTGGACTCACGTGTGTGTTTGTGTCTCAGTTTTTAACAAAAAAGTTTAAAAAGTGAAAAAAAAAACCCAAAAACTTTAAAAATGGAAAAAAGCCTATAGAATAAGCATATAAAGAAAAAATATTTTTGTACAGCTGTACAATGTGTGTTTTAAGTGTTACTACAAAAGAGTCAAAGTTTTAAAAATTAAAAGTTTATAAAGTAAAAAAGTTATGGTAAGATAAGGTTAACTTCTTACTGAAGAAAGAAAAGTAATTTTTTCTAAATTTTGTGTAGCCTAAGTGTACAGTGTTTATAAAGTCTACAGTCGTGTGCAGTGACGTCCTAGGTCTTCCACTCACTTACCCCTCACTCGCCTAGAACAACTTCCAGTCCTGCAAACCCCCTTCATGCTAAGTGCCCTATACAGGTGTACCATTTTTTATCTTTTTTAATGATTTTTTTCCCCCTGAGGAAGATTTTCTCTGAACTAACATCCATTGCCAATCTTCCCTTTTTTGCTGAGGAAGATTTGCCCTGAGCTAACATCTGTGCCAGTCTTCCTCTGTTTTGTATGTGGGTTGCTGCCTGAGCATGGCTGCCAACTCGTGGTGTAGGTCCATGCCCGGGAACTGAACCTGGGCTGCCAAAGCAGAGGATGCCAAACTTCACCACTAGGCCACAGGGCTGGCTGCATTTTTTATCTTTAATACCATATTTTTAGTGTACCTTTTCTATGTTTAGATATATTTAGATACACAATACTTAGCATTGTGTTACAATTGTCTATGGTATTCAGTACAGTAGCATGCTGTGCAGGTTTGTAGCCCAGGAGCAATAGGCTCTGTCATATAGCCTAGGTGTGTAGTAGGCTGTACCATCCAGGTCTGTGTAAATGCACTCTATGATGTTCGTACAATGACGAAATCGCCTAATGACACATTTCTCAGGACATATCC